TTTATGTTAAAACTGTTATGCTCATTCCTTCCTTGCATTTTTTTTACATAACTATTGCCAGGGCTTAATTTGTAAACTGATCGAAGCCAGAACACAAATAGTAGGTGGGCTGGTGGGGGTGCTGGAAGGGCAGTCTGGTTGTCCTTCCCCAGAAAATTTTGAATAAAGTAGATGAGAATAAAGTAATGCATTTTGTTGTATTTTAACAGGATGTTAAACATCTGTGTTTACCTACATTTGTAAACACTGCTTTTATCAAGCATCCCAACCCCCACCCCCTTATTTGATGGTTACGAGCCTGACTCTTCTCCGCCAAATTCACTGTCCTGCTCATTGTTGTCTGACTCCACATGTGAAATCTCCTTGCGCCTCCTTCTGTTCATGTGTTCATGGCGGTTGGCACATACGACTCCCTGGCTAGCTTAGCACTCACCCCCATCATTCACTCAGTTCTGCTCCAATCTCGATTGCCACTGCCTTAAGGTTCTTCAATTCTCAGTTGTCTAATTAAAGACAATGAGAATCTTTTATTTATGAACATAAATTGGATTGTCTTTTCTATATTTTTATCGCTGTTATTTTGACAATTTACCACCGTTGTTTTGATACGTAATGTGAATAATACACATCAAAATATTTGCGGAGAAGATGGTACCGGTGTACGTGGCAGGTCGTCTCTCACTGTCAGTCCTTGTCATTATTATTATTATTATTCTGTTGTTTTTGAGTGAAGTCAAATCAGTATTGGTGTATGATTGCCAAACGTTATTGGCTCTAAGGTCATTTATCCACAATGTGGCTACTTTTAATACATGGGAACATAAATTTTCCCCCAGCTTCTGTCGGAAATTCCAGCTCACCTGTGCCGGGTTCCGGCGCTGCCCCACCGGCGGAAATGTCATCGCAGCCGTGGTAAACACGGTAGACACCTGGTGAAGCTGAAAAACTTTTTTTCATGGTCCAATGGTTCCCAACCAGTCCCTGAAGAGTTTTCTGGCATGTTTTTGCCTTGGCATTTTCTGGAGCCGGTGGATGCTTGCCTGGTTCATGTTGTTGGTGCGAATGTCCCCCAGCGTCAGCGCCCCTGCCAGCCCCGGCTCAGCAGGTGCGGAGCAAACCCACTGAACCTGAGACAGCTGAGTTGGCCCCTCCCTCAGCGTGACAACCCCGCTCCAGCTCCAGCCAGGATTGGCTTGGTGAACGCCAGATCGCTGGTCAATAAAACTTTCATCTTGAGGGATTTCTTCAGCTCCCATAATCTGGACTTTCTCTGTATTACAGAGACTTGACTGAGTGAGGCTGAGTCAGCTGCTCTGTCGGAGCTTTTACCAATAGGCTGCTCTTATTTTAACTCCCCACAATTATCGGGCCGGGGAGGAGGAACTGCAGCCGTGTATAAAAATGTTTTTAGTTGTAAACAATGTTTTAAACAGCATCACTTCACCAGCTTTGAGCTGACCTCATTTGAAGTGGGTTGTTCTGACCCAACACTCTGTGATGTTATCTACCGCGCACCCAAATACAATAAGGATTTTATTAGTGACTTTTCAGAATTTCTTTCCGAGATAGTGACTGGATATAACCATCTACTTATTGTTAGTGATTTTAACATTCATGTTTGTTGCCCAGACAAACCTCTGGTAAAATAATTTTTAATTCTTAGAGACTCTTAATTTGGTGCATTCTGTGTCAGGTCCTACATATGATAAAGGTCACACTCTAGATCTTGTGCTTTCTTTGGGATTACCTGTGTCTAATCTGGAAATTCATGACTCTATAATATCTGATCATATGCCTATAATATTCCAGACTGTTCTCACATATGCACCTGTTAAACTTTCCACTCTTGCTCAGAGCTGTCAGATTATTAACCCCTCCACTGCTGGCCAGTTCACTGAGGTTTTCTGCCAGCTCTGTCCACCTGCCTCAACTGATGCTGAGGATCTTAGTTCTTGGCTCCACTTATCCTGTCTGACTGTGTTGGATACTGTGGCTCCTTTAAAGACTTAACAGCCTGACTTTAAACATGAACCCTGGCTTCAGAACACAACGGTTCGAGCTGTCAGACAGGAATGTCGCAGAGCGGAAGGCAGGTGGAGAAAGGACAAGCTGCAGGTGTCCCTTCAAAATTTTAAAGACTGTTGGCGCAATTACCAGGACACAGTTAAAGCAGCCAAAAAGGACTTTTTTCTAACTTGATTTTATCTCACAGCCACAACCCACGTGTTCTTTTTAGTACCATTGACTCTTTTCTTAACTCTCCACAGACTGCTGGCGTTGAAGCATCCACTCAGTTGTGCAATAATTTTATGCAGTTGCTAAGGTTACCTCTGTAAGGGCTTCCATCTTACGCCCAGACTCTGACCCCTCTGTGTGTGTCCCCCTGCTCTGCTGCTTTCAGTCAGTTTAAGCCTGTTACTGTGTTATTTTTAGAGGACATGGTCGCTCAGATTAAGCCCTCTGGTTCTCTATGTGATGCTCTTCCACCAGACTTTCTTAAATAAGTTTTCCCTTGTTTTGAACACTTGGTTCTTGCCAACAATTTTCAGTCGGGTCATATGGACAGTTTCTTTTTTCTTTTATTGTGCCGACATAACTGGTTTGTTCCACTTTGGAATAAGCTGTTGGGGAAAGAATCAGTTTTGTTTTGTGTGTTTCCTTGACTGAAGAAGCCTTCTGGATGGAAGGTGAAACTTTTCAGCACAAAAAAAAAAAAAAGAAACTGTCCAGATGAACTGACTGAAAATTGTTGGATTGTATACCTGGATTATTGAGCATGGACTTTGTTGGACTTGGTTCTTGCCCTTTTTAAGTTTATCTGGAGTAGTACCAGCTAATTTTAAACATGCTGTGGTGCAGCCCCTGAAAAAGAAACCAGGTCTCGATCCCACTGTGTTGGGGAATTTTAGGCCCATCTCCAAGCTTCCCCTACTGTCAAAAATCTTAAAGAAAATTGTTTATGCACAGTTAAAATCATTCCTGGATGAACAACAAAGTCCATGCTCAATAATCCAGGTATACAATCCAACATTTTTCAGTCAGGTCCTCTGGACAGTTTCTTTTTTTTTTTTTTTTTTGGTGTTGAATCGTTTCACCTTATCTGTCAAGGAAACACACAACAAAACAGATTCTTCCCCCAACAGCTTACTCCAAAGTGGAAGAAACCAGTTCTGCTTGTGATAAGATGTTCTCTTTGGTACGCACCCCTTCCTCCATTGCCAGCCCTCTTCCTTGGTGACAGTGTTGTCAAATTGGTTGAAAACAACAGCACCATGACTGACCATGACCTGACTGAAAAATGTTGGATTGTATACCTGAATTATTGAGCATGGACTTTGTTGTTTTCAACCAATTTGACAAGACTGTCAACAAGGAAGAGGGCCAGCAATGGAGGAGGGAGCGTACCAAAGAGACCATCTTATCACAAGCAGAACTGGTTTCTTCCACTTTGGAGTAAGCTGTTGGGGGAAGAATCAGTTTTGTTGTGTGTTTCCTTGACTGATGAAGCCTTCCGGACCAAAGGCGAAACGTTTCAGCACCAAAAAAAAAAAAGAAACTTTCAAGATGACCTGACTGAAAAATGTTGGATTCCTGGATGAACATAACATCATGGCTGTGTTCCAGTCTGGATTTAAAACTCTCCATAGCACAGAGTCAGCTCTGCTGAGAGTTTTTAATGACATCCTCCTGGCATGTGACTCGGGTGATCATGTGATCCTTGTGTTACTGGACTTAACTGCTGCGTTTGACACAGTGGACCACATCATTTTATTGTCACGTCTACAGCACCAAGTAGGCATTGGTGGAACTGCTTTGTATTGGTTGGGGTCCTATATGGCAGACAGAACATTTTCTGTAAAAATTGCTGGGTGTGAATACTTTTCTGCTCCTCTGTCATGTGGGGTTCCCCAGGGATCAATTTTAGGGCCTTTGCTTTTTTCTTTATATATACTTCCTCTAGGATCGATATTTAGAAAACACGGCATCTTCTTTCACTGCTATGCTGATGATTGCCAAATCTATGTGCCTTTGAGGCGAGTTGATGCCTGGTCCATTAAACCTCTTTTATTGAGGATCTTAAAGCTTGGATGGCCCTAAACTTCCTGCATTGTAATGAAAAAAGACAGAGGTGCTTGTTTTTGGACCTAGTGGAGCTTGTTCGAACCCTCCAGTCGATTTAGACCCCCTGACAATGTACATAAAGTCCACAGTTACAAATCTTGGTTTTAAGATGGACAGTAATTTTAAACTCAAGTCAAATAAGGGCCACAGTCAAGTCTGGTTTTTATCATTTAAGAAAAATAGCAAAGGTAAAATCTATTCTTTCAAGGCAACAGTTTGAAACAGTAATCCATGCTTTCATTTCATCATGGCTGGATTACTACGAGACTACTACTGGATTACTGTAATTCCCTCTTTCTCGGAGTCACCCAGTCCTCGCACATCTGCAGCTGGTGCAAAATGCTGCTGCACGTCTTTTCACAGGAACATGTAAAAGAGAGCAAATCACCCCTGTCCTGGCTTCTTTCCACTGGCTGCCTGTGTATTTTAGAGTTCATTTTAAAATTATTTTGTTTGTTTTTAAGGTTCTAAACAGCCTTGCCACCCCCACCCCCCACCCCCTTACACTCCCCCTTGGTCACTCAGGTCTGCTGACCAGCTGCTTCTGGTCATTCCCAAGAGTAAGAGGAAACTTCAAGGAGACGGGGCCTTCTCTGTTAGTGCCCCTAAGTTATGGAACACTCTGCCTTTGCACATTCAACAGGCCCCTTCACTGTCCATTTTTAAAACCCGTCTGAAAACTCATCTCTACTCAGTGACCTTCAACCCACCTGAGACTTGATTTAATGCATTTTTATTGGTATTGATTTTAAATTTTAAGGAGTGTAATAGTGGTTAAAAATGTTTGCATTGTCCAAAATTGCAGAATATGACACAAACATAATTTAAGTTCATAAGTATAAACTTAAAGCCAAACAAGTAAGATAAGTAACACAAACCTTTGGCTCCCTGATTTGGGTGTCTTCCTTTATACCAGGCACAACTTTAAATGTGATCGCTCCTTGTGAATGGGCCTGGACCAAGAAAGAAGATAATGCAGGATTAGGTGATGGAACTAAAAGCTCCTAACCAAAAAACCCTAAACTACACCATAATAAAAGTCCCACTAAATACATCAATACTTTTTTTTCTTTTTAAGGAATATTTATATATTAGCTGACCAGCCACAAAACAGCACAAGCCAATGTATCGCTTGTGCCAATCCCAAGCCCGGGTAAATGGTGAGGCTTGTGTCAGGAAGGGCATCTGACTTAAAACACGTGTGCCAAAACCATAATGCGAGTTCATCTAAGCAACACCATACCAGATCGACGGAGGCCCTGGTTAACAACAACAACTGCCACCATTGACAAACAGGGTGCTAGTAGAAATTGTGTTATTTTTAGTCAAAGACTATAAGGGGGAAATATGTTAGGAGACAAAGGTAGAAGAGGAAAATCAAGAATGTAGGACTGAGGTTGGCAAATATAAATGTGGGGTCAATGACAGTCAAAGGTAGAGAGTTGGCTGACATGATGCTGAGAAGGAAGGTAGATGTTTTATGTGTGCAAGAGACCTAGTGGAAGGGCAGCAAGGCTCGGAGCATTGGAGCAGGGTTCAAACTGTTTTACCATGGTGTGGATAGAAAGAGAAATGGAGTAGGGGTGTTCCTGGAAGAGGAGTTAGCACCGAATGTAGTTTTTAGTTATCTAAAGGTGAAAAAGTATCAGTTAAGGCAATGTGTCTGACGGTAGAAGATAGTGTTCCCAGGGAGGAGAGAGTGGTGATTGGAGCAGACCTGAATGGACATGCTGGTGAAGGAAACAGAGGGGATGATGAAGTGATGGGTAGGTTTGGTGTCAAGGAAAGAAACCAGGAAGGACAGAAGGTGGTGAATTTTGCCAAGGGAATGGAAATGGCTGTAGTCAACACCTATTTCCAAAAGAGGGAGGAACACAGAGTCACCTATAAGAGTGGAAGAAGGAGTATGCAGGTAGACTATATTCTGTGTAGAAGAGGAAACCTGAGAGAGATTGGGGAATGTAAAATTGTGACAGGGGAGAGAGTGGCCAGAAAGCATCGGATGGTTGTGTGTAGATCGACTGTTGTTGTGAAGAAGATAAAAATAGTAAACTCCGAGAAGACCAAATGGTGGAAGCTGAGGAAAGAAGTATGTTGTGAGGAGTTCAGAAAGGAGCTGATAAAGGCTCTGGGTGGTAAAAAAAAAAAGAGCTTCCAGATGACTGGGCTACTACAGCAACAGTAATTAGAGAGACAGGTAGGAAGGTACTTAGTGTGTCGTCTGGACAGAGAAAAGATAAGGAAACCTGGTGGTAGTGAAGTGCAGGAAGCTATTCAGAGATAGAGGTTTGCCAAGAAGAAATATGACAGTGAAAGGACTGACGACAGTAGAAAATAATATAAGGAGATGAAACGTAGAGCAATGAGGGATGTAGCTAAGGCAAAGCAGAAGGCTTATGATGAGTTGTAAGAGAGGCTGGACACTAAAAAGGGCGAGAAGGACTTGTGAAAAATTGGTGAAACAGAGTGATCAGGATCTATCATCATCTGCACACTCTGCAAAGGGTGGTGAAGGCTGCACAGAAGTCAGTTTGAGTCAGTCTCCCCACCATCACGGACATCTACACCTCTAGATGCAGGAAGAGGGACACCTGCATCATGAAGGACCCCACTCACTCAGCACACACTCTTTTTGCCCCACTCCCCTCAGGCAAGAGGTTGTGGAGCATTAAGTGTAGAACCACTAGGCTAAGCAACAGTTTCTACCCTGAAGCTGTTAGACTTATAAATCCCTAACCAGAAAAATCAATATAATGCCACTTTAAGCGGAGATAAGTCACTTTATTTGTGCTGCTGAGTATCCATGCTGCTGATTTTTTACGGCTGTTGGGCGGCTGTGGCTGAGTGGTTAGAGCAGTCGTCCTCCAATGCGGGAGTTGGGGGTTCGAATCCACCAGCAGTCACATGCCGAAGTGTCCCTGGGCAAGACACTGAACCCCTCATAGCCTCTGATGTGTGTCCCATCAGTGTATGTATGTGATCTAAAAGCACTGATTAGTCTCATTAGAATGATGTCTTCAGTTAGCTTTGTAGCGATGTAGAGTGCTGTATGAATGGGTAAATGAGGACACAGATTGTAGTGTAAAGCGCTTTGAGTATCTTGAAATAAGATAGAAAGGTGCTATATAAGTACAGTCCATTTACCATTTTACCATTACCTTAAGCTGCTATATTCATACCCAGTGGTTTGCAACGTTTACTATAAAAAGAGCCGTTTTATGCCTTAATTCACTAAATTAAAAGTGATCAGAGCCACAACAACCTGCTGTGATTATCAACTGGTGGCCCGTGGGCCACTTTAGGTTTGTTAAAGGGGGCTTTTGTGGCAGTTAGGGGTGACATTAGCGGCTGTGGCTGAGTCGGGCGGATGTGGCTGAGTGGTTAGAGCAGTCGTCCTCCAATGCAAGAGTTGGGGGTTCGAATCCACCAGCAGTCACATGCTGAAGTGTCCCTGGGCAAGACACTGAAACCCTCATTGCCTCCGATGCGTGTCCCATTGGTGTATGAATGTGATCTAAAAGCACTGATTTGTCTCATTAGAATGATTTGTTCAATTAGCTTTGTACAGATCTAGTAGAGTGCTGTATGAATGGGGAAATGAGGGCACAGATTGTAGTGTAAAGCGCTTTAGAGTGTCTTCATAATGCTGTGTTTGAGGCACTGGATTCTAAAAAGGTTTGCTGTGCTCTGTTTGTTGATTTATCCAAGGCATTTGATACAGTGGGTCACACTATCCTGGTAAATATTTGTCTCAAACTGAGCATCTCCAAAGAAGCATCTTACTGGTTTGGAAATTATTTGGCAACTAGGACACAGTGTGTACAGATGACTGGAGTAAGCTCAAGTTTTCTTAAAGTAAAAAAAGGCGTACCACAGGGCTCTGTCTTGGGGCCCATCTTATTTACAATTTACATTACTGCACTGTGTGAAAATTTGCAAAATGTCTCCTACCACTTTTATGCTGGTGATTGTGTAATTTACTGTTGTTCAAATTCAATTGCTCAGGCACTTAAATTCTTACAGGCTGCTTTTGATGAGGTGCAAATTTGTCTTGAGCAACTAAAATTGGTCTTAAATGCTGATAAATCTAAAATAATGTTTTTTTCAAATTTGTCTGTCCCATTGGAGAATATCCCTCTAATAAAAACTGCCCAAGGTATAGTGCTCGAGAGGGTCTCCAGTTATACTTGGGCTTAATTATCGACGAGGAGCTTTCTTTAAAATCTCATGTGAAACACCTAATCTCCAAATTAAGGGTGAAGGTTCTTTAGATACAAATCATGTTTCTTCCTTAGAGCAAATAAGCTTTTGATCAAAACTACTTTTCTGCCAGTACTTGACTATGGCAATGTAGTTATATGTACATCAAACAGTTGTTTACAGTCATTAAATCCAGTGTACCATTGTGCATTAAGATTTTACTGGTTGTAGCTACCTTACTCATCACTGTGATCTCAATCTTAAAGCCAGTATGCCTTCCCTGTTTAACAGGCTACATGTGCACTGGATGACTTTGGTTTATAAGTCTCTTATTGGCATGCTTCCGCATTATTTATGTACTTTTATTCGAAGAATGGACAGTAGTTATGCCTTACGCTCTAAGTACTGTTTACATCTTGTGTAAGAACAGAAAAAGGCAAGAAAGCTTTTAGCTTTTCTGCCCCCTCAGCTTGGAATGCCTTGCAAGCTGAGTTAAAACTGACAGAACTTGTTACTTTAAGTGCTTTTTGCAAACTTTTAAAAAACCGACAAAGGATATCTTGTCAACAGTGCCTGTGTTTTAGATCTTAAATTGTCATTGTTTTAAATTATTATTTACTACAATTATTGCCATTTACTGTTACACTGTATGTTATATATATATATATATATATATATATATATATATATATATATATA